GTTAAAGCTGTTAGATCGTTAGGATTGTCGGACATTGGGCTGATTGGTCTGGAATTTAGGATTCCTTCCACCTCGATGATTATCGTGTCCAATTCTTCATACGCTAAGGACGCTGGTGCGAGGTGCTTCTTATTAGTAGATGCTGATTTTACCGCTGCTTCCCATAAACCGCCAAAATGTGGAGTCCTAGGAGGTATAAAATGAAATGTTATTCCCTTTCCGCTGCACTGCTTTACTATTGATTCTCGTGATGAATTTCCATAAACAACGTCAGTAAGTTCAGAAAGCTGGTTTTTCGCGCCTACAAAATTGGTTGCGTTGTCACAATATACATTTTGACAATGTCCTCTTCGGCTTATAAATCGTTTTAAGGCACCAAATAATGCATCCGTCGTCAAGTCGCTAACTAATTCCAAATGCACTGCTTTTGTGGCAAAACAGCAAAATACCGCTACATAGGCCTTTTGTGGTTTCTTTCCCCTTATCTTGAAGTGAACCCAAAATGGCCCGCAGAAGTCCACGCCTGAGTTGATGAATGGTCTTGCTGGAGTTACTCTTGTTGAAGGCAAATTCCCCATAATTTGACTCATTAGTTTTGGCTTAGCTTTGGTGCATCTTACACAGTTGAGCACAATTGATCGGGTCAGCAATTTTCCCTTTATAGGCCTTTGCCTTGTGTAAGCTAAGAGCGCTTGAGGTCCACAATGACGGTTTTCTTTATGGATCATTTGTACTAATAATTTGGCGAGTGAATTGTTATGTGGAATTAGCATAGGGTGTTTGGCATCGTATGCAAGTTCTGATGCTTGTAGACGCCCTCCAACTCGGATGATACTATTATTGTCCAGAAACGGTGACAGGCTGCGGAAAGAACTGTTTTTGCGTACTTCGTTGTATTTTTTAAGGTGCTGAAGCTCTTCCTCAAAGTCCGATTGCTGCATTGTATGAACGATTACCACAAGCGCTTTTTCCAATTCGTGTACGGTCAAGGGAATGTCTGACTCCCGCGATTGGTTTCTGGCCTGGTTGATAAATCTCAGCATGTAGCCTGTCACTCTTTGTAATGTTTTGAAAGAGCCATTGTGTCGAATGCTATAAAGTACGCTTCCTTCATGTCCAGTGGTTGCAACAGCGACTGATGTCACCCCTTTCCGTTCCATGTTGATACCTTCGTCGATTACTGATAATGCCTTGGAATACTTTGAACGCCAAGTGTCTTCTTTACCAAGCAAGATTGTTTGCCCATAAAACCACATATTGCATGTTTCTAGTCTCCCCGGCGGCAGTCCTCGTGATAGAATGTCAGCTGGGTTGTCTTTTGAGCTTATATGCCGCCATTGTTCAGCGGTAGTGTGCTCATTAATAACAGCTATACGGTTTGCCACAAATGTTTGGTATGATGCTGAGGATGAGTTAATCCATGCCAACACGATTTGTGAATCAGTCCAAAAGTATGTAGCCACATCGTCTAGCTTAAGGTCTGATTTGACCCTTGTAGTTAGTTGAGCACCCAGTACTGATGCACAGAGCTCAAGCCGAAGAATAGTTTGCCATTTCAAGGGTGCCACACGTGATTTTGCACAGAGCAGCCTAACTTGTACTCGTCCCTCATCCAGCTCGGATCTAATGTAAATCGCAGCACCATATGCCTTTTCTGATGCGTCGGAGAAGACATGAATTTGAATTTTTGCTGGGATGTATCCTTCAAACACGTGCCGTGAAACTTGCAAGTTGTCCAATTTTTGCAAATCATTTCGAAATGTTGTCCATCTCTCATTCAAATCGGCTGGTAATGCTTCATCCCATGTCAGCTTCAGTTGCCAGAGATCTTGAATAAACATTTTTGCCATGACTACAATTGGTGCTAGTATCCCCAACGGATCGAANATTACGAAATGTTGTCCACCTCTCATTCAAATCGGCTGGTAATGCTTCATCCCATGTCAGCTTCAGTTGCCAGAGATCTTGAATAAACATTTTTGCCATGACTACAATTGGTGCTAGTATCCCCAACGGATCGAAGAGCCTTGCAAGATCGGCGCTGACTGAGTGTTTAGTTGCAAGACTGCAGCTTCCTAGGCATACCTTTACGCAGAATCGATCCATCTTAGGCATCCATGTTAACCCCAACGTTTTAATAGTTTGATTGATGTCATTGTCAAAGTCTATGTCAACTTCTTGTTCCTCCCTGCTAACATTTTGCAGTAATTGTGAGTGATTGGCGCACCATTTTCTTAGGTTAAGACCACGTTGTTTTAAGATGTGTATCAGTTGCTGTTGGATTTCCATCGTCGTGGTTAAGCTGTCTGGCCCACCAATTCCGTCATCTACATAAAAATTGTCCTGTAGAAACTGAGCACCAAGAGGATTTTGTAATGCATTTTCTTTTGCAATTTTCTGAAAACATTTGGTGGCTAAATATGGAGCAGATCTTGTCCCATATGTGATTGTATTTAGCTGATAATGCTTTATTGATAGGCTTGAATCCTTTCGCCAGATGATAAGTTGGAATTTGCGTTCGTCCGGTTGAATGAGCATCTGTCGATACATTTTTTCTACATCTGTGGTGAAGACGAACCTGGGCAAACGGAAGCGAAGTAAAATGGTGAAAAGCTCGCTCTGAACAGTGGGTCCGGTATACATGAGGTCATTCAAAGACATGCCAGTGGACGATTTTGCTGATGCGTCGAACACCACACGTAATTTTGTAGTGCGGCTTTCGGGTCTCACAATGCAATGGTGAGGAATGAAGTACCTAGGTTTACTGATGGAATCAATATCCACTTGCGTCATGTGNATAGGCTTGAATCCTTTCGCTAGATGATAAGTTGAAATTTGCGCTCGTCCGGTTGAATGAGCATCTGTCGATACATTTTTTCTACATCTGTGGTGAAGACGAACCTGGGCAAACGGAAGCGAAGTAAAATGGTGAAAAGCTCGCTCTGAACAGTGGGTCCGGTATACATGAGGTCATTCAAAGACATG